CCCACCACTCTACGCCTTCCGGTGCTCCACTGTGTTGTCATTCACAGAGGTGACCGCTCAAGAGATCGACGCGGCAGAATTCATCAGCACATACTACTCCGTCCCAGCAGGTAGCAAAAACGAATCACTTACAATGAACTATACGAGATCGTAGTTCGAAGGTTGTGTATTTAAAAACAAATCTGCGTGGATTTAGCACTAGGAATATCAAATAACCTGATCACGTCTATGGAAACGCCACTTAAAATTTGGAAAAGCCATAACATCGCCAAACACGAGCGTATCCGACAAAATGTTGATACCATTATGATCTTAAGACATTAAATATCATGCGCCACACAACAACGAACTAGTTTCTTCATTAGTCTTGAAGGGTTTGCATTTGACGCATTTGGAAGTGAATTTGGGAGATGTGGCATATACAATTCTAAGCGCACCCAACCGACATCGCTGCGAATGGACCCAATTTGGACAGGCAATAAATTCATAAATACGTCGAACTGCACGATGCAATGGGGCTTAGCCAGCTTAGAAAAGCATGAATATCATGTGTAGTACAACGCCAGCCTCCAGCTATATGATTTACGCCTTCATTGGGGGCCATGAAGACAACCATAAAAACCTTTATTTTTGTATCGAATAGTGGTAGCCAGCTTATACATGCATTCTTAGTGCTGTCTATGCGAACTTCGATTCATACAAATATCAAGTTACGACAGTCGGTCGTTTTTGCTACCTGCTCTCCGTCCCATATTACTTTGCGTTTTTGGTCGAATCGACCTCGCAGCGGAAGTCGCTTGTGATTGGCTTGCGCATAATACGGGGTTGTGATTGGTAGAAATTGACAGTAATAATTTATTTTTATTCTATTTCCGGAAAAATGACGTACTTTGAGTATGTTATCCGGAAAAGTAATATTAATAAAACTCGATTTGCCCAATTCCTGATACAAACATCAAGCCCGGTGAAAGATTCGCAAAACGATTCGAGTGACCGTTTTTAACGCCAAGAACAGAAGTCTTCAATGGGCATAATTTTGACACGAGCTGTATCAATTGATAGAGGAAATCAAAAGCTGGTTTGACTGATTCGAAACTTTCAAAACTCGATTTTTCACGGTCACTTAAAGTTAAAAACGCAAAGTAATATGGGACGGAGTAGTACTGCAGTACCAGACCGGTACTGGGGGATGGGAGCGAGCTGGGTGTGACACATGATTTAGTTTAACGCGCTAATGGTCCAAGCGTTATACACTCTTTGGCGTTGTATCGAGCATCATTTGATTCGGAGTCTCCCTCGTCCTGTGGTCTGTGGTCAGTCTGTGGTGGGCGTGTCGTCGTGATACTTACCATGTTCTGGTTCCTGCGAAAAGGCGCCTGCTGGCGCCACGTCACGGGCTGCCTATTTTCGGTCCGAAAGGCCGATTTCAATCATAAAAATAGGATAGACGCACCCAAATGGAAACGGCACAAGTCCTCATGCAAGCGTCTTGGTCGCTGCTCATTGGCCAGTGCGTTGACCAACCAATTTTTGCAAGTGATTGGCTCTCCCAAGAGATTGGTCCGCGGAAGCGGTCGGTACAATTGCACTCGCCAGCTCAGGAGCATGACGATGACCTTCAAGAAGCACGACGCCGCCCCCAAGCGCAAGCGCGACGAGGACGGCGCCGGCAAGGCCGCCAAGGTCGCCAACACGGCGCCGACAGCCAGCACCGCAGCGGGCGTGGCATGGCGCGCCGAGCACTCGATCACGATCCGCGGCCCGACGGCCAACTATGCGTGCCCGGACCCGATCCTCGAGTTTGACGACACGCCGTTCACGACCGAGATCAAGGACTGCTTCAAGCGCGCGGGCTACACGTCGCCGACGCCGACGCAGGCGCAGTCGTGGCCGATCGCGCTCACCAAGCAGGACATGATCTCGGTCGCCAAGACGGGCTCGGGCAAGACCGTGGGCTTTCTCTTGCCGTCGTTCTACCACATCTCCAAGAACACCAAGCCGACGCGCGACCCGCGCATCCTCGTGCTGGCGCCGACGCGCGAGCTCGCGACGCAGATCGAGGCCGAGGCCAAGAAGTTCAGCCGCGCCAAGCCGTTCGTGCGCACAGCGTGCATTTACGGCGGTGCGCCCAAGTACATGCAGATCCGCCAGCTCGAGATTGGCGTCGACTGCCTCGTCGCGACGCCCGGTCGTCTCAACGACCTTCTCACGATGAAGAAGGTCAACCTCCGCTCGGTCGAGATCCTCGTGCTTGACGAAGCCGATCGCATGCTTGACATGGGCTTCGAACCCCAGATCCGGTCGATCGTGGCCGAGATCCCGGCGCAGCGCCAGACGCTTCTCTTCAGCGCCACGTGGCCCAAGGCGATCCAGAAGCTCGCGCGCGAGTTCCTCACCAACCCGGTCCAAGTCGAGATGGGCGACATCAACGTGCTCCAGGCCAACAAGGACATTGTGCAGAACGTGATCATGTGCGACGAGAGCGACAAGCACATCAAGTTTGCCGAGCTCGTAGACAAGGTCGTCAAGATGGAGGACCCGACCAACACGGACTTGACCAAGCACGTCAAGACGATCGTGTTCTTCCGCACCAAGCGCACGTGCGACCACTTTGCGAACGAGTACTGGGCCGACGGCTTCGCGGTCGGCGCCCTCCACGGCGACAAGGAGCAGCACGAGCGCACGCTCACGATGAACCAGTTCAAGATGGGCACGATCAACCTGCTCTTTGCGACCGACGTGGCGGCGCGCGGCCTCGATGTCAAGGACGTCGGCGTCGTCATCAACTACGACATGCCCAACGGCCAGAACGGCATCGAAGACTACGTCCACCGCATCGGTCGTACGGGCCGTGCCGGCGCCAAGGGCCAGTCCTTCTCGCTCTTCACCAAGAGCGACGCCGGCTGCGCCAAGGAGCTTGTCGAGATTCTCACCGAAGCGCAGCAAGAAGTACCGCAAGAGCTCGTTGAGATGAAGGGGAAGCGCAGTGGCGGCAAGGGTGGCAACTTCTTCCGTCGTGGTGGCGGTGGTGGTCGTGGTGGCCGCGGTGGCGGCCGTCGTTATTAGAGGCCTTTCATCAATCTATTAATTTCTAAACTAACTAAATGCAACTAACCGTTTGAGATGTATAATCCACCATTGCTGGCAGAAGATTGCCACACGCGCGCACCGAAGTCTTTGACAGCGTCGTGCGTGGGGACGCCGGGACAAGCATCGACGACCGCATCGGTTCAAGCTCCTCTCAATGGTGTTGAGCTCCTTGAGATCGTAAATGCTCCTGAGGCGCTTGTCGAATGACGAGAGTGGCGTCGAGAGTCGCGTGGCAGCGTGCCAAAGAGGGCCACGAGTAGTACATGAAAAAGCTCTTGAGAGGGCCCGGCGAGCTTGAGCGACGCCGAGGTCTGGCAGCGTTTGAACAAAGCGGCGTTCGAGAGGGATTATGAACGACAATGAGTTGACGCAGTTGTTTCAAAGCGTTCGAGTCGATCAGCGCCAGCAGCCGTGGGCGCCCAAGACCCACAGTGCTTGAGCAACGTCGGGAGCATCTACACGTCGTTGAGCTTGAGCCGCTGCCAGTAGATGCAATATCAAGGAACATGACGTTTCTATTCAGACAAGTTACGCAAGAGGGCGATACAAGTAAGTGGCGCTTGACGAGTTAGACCTTGCAGAGGTAGCCGCCCGTAGCACCGGTGTTCCAGCCGCCACCACCGGCAGTCGGCACCGCCCTTGCCGCCGCCGCCGTAGCCTCCGGTGGTGGTGCAGACGAAGCCGGCGCCAAGCACTTTTTGCTGTGGACGTCCTGGGCTAAAGTCACCCGCCGTGCCACACCCGATTTCTGGTTTAGCCCCAAAGCTTGCCTCCGTTCTCCCTTGGCAGGGATTGGAACTGGTTGCCTCTGAGCAAACACAGTCGTTGGCCCACTCGCGACGTGGTGGCGGCGGTGAAAATAAAATTGCGTTAAGCACTTGGTGACCAAGCTTTATGAACCATCAGTGTGAAGGGTCGTTGTTCATGCTGCCATTATGAAGCGGCGGGCGGTCCACCGCGTGAGCTATGCCGTACAGCTCCCACATGACGGCTTCGCGTCATCGAGCAAACAGTCGCCTCCAAAGGGCGTGGCGTTTGCGGACCAATGCCGTTGCACGAACCTGCAATTGACGGTGGTCGCCTGCTATTCGAACGTCGTGTCGTTTGTGTTGGACCCTGCCAACCACGAGCGAAGGCGGTGATTCGATCTTCCCTGTTGCGACAGGATCGTAGCGAGCCTCTGCACAGTACAGGTAGGAGAACTCGGGTTGGACCCAGAACGCTTGTGTGCCGAGGAGAAGGACGAGGTCGCCACGCGCAAGAGAGACGGGTAGGTTAACACTTTAAAGCGCGTTTGATCGCCATGGACAATGACCGAATGCCTCGACATAGAGCCTCGTCGGTGACGATCGCAATTGCACGATCTGCATCTACTGGTCGCTGTTGCGATTGCGTCCAGTCTTTCCAAAGGGCTTCTCTGCGCGCTCGCACAGTTTACTCGCACAAGTCACCCAGACGCGACAGGGTGGTTTGGTGGTGCGCAGCAGAATCAACGCCGTGAATTCTCGAGCTCAACGTTCTCCAGGAGCTTTGGCGTCGCCACCCGCTCCCCATGCGACTTCGTGCACTTGCCACTAGAAGCAATGAAAAATGGAAAACGTACCCTTGCGGAAGATTCGAGTGCGATTTCTCAACAAACTCAACATCCGAGAAATCTGCTGGAAATCTGGTTCACATCCCAGCACTCCTGTCGTACAATGTAGTTGACTTCTTCCAAATAGTACAATTCAGTGGGGCTACTGTAGTAGCCATGGATTTTGCTTGTGGTTGTTTGGGTCGTATTGCGCTTCGTCATGGTGAACCAAATAGGCTTTCTTGCAGAATTTCATTCGCATTCGACGCACGCAGGTCCATGTCCATAGGTACGAGGTTACAAGCGACCGCATCGAACCCCCGATTTCGCGATGGAGCAGTGCCCCAGCAAGCGAGAGACTTCCCGGAATGGCTATTCGCGGCATTGAATTTACGATTCCGGCCGCAGTGTGCAGTTTGTACTCAACGAAAATCGGACGGTCTGCGACGAAGCACACAATATGGTCAAGTGTGCACAGAGGGCTGACACACATGTGTGATCATTCGCGAGTTCCTTTCGTGACGAGCGTCGCGTCGCGCCCCTTGAAGATCTGAAATTTTCAGTCGTCGAAAACCATCGCGATCCCACAGCGGTCATCGACTCCAGCGGTATCGACTCTATGAACCGACGTCCCAACGCGTTTCGAGCCCGACGGGCTGCGATATGCTATAGGAATGTCATTCCATTGTCAAGCGCAGCCTATACATGTACGGAAGTCTTGTGTAGCTGGAAGGCAAGTCATCACCGGGACCCATGTCCTTATTTCCTTGGCCACCACAAGCAGCATTATTGCACCTCATGGAGTTCAACGACTCGGAGAGCAACCAGGCCAGGTTCATGACAACGACCACTCGCAACGACGGAATCGGTGCCGTGATCCCCAACACATGTAGAGAGCGCGTCGATGCCGTGTGCTGAGACACCAAGTGGATAACGTCCATCGTGTCTGCATTACATCTTGACATCCCCACACACAACCGCCTTTCTAGCGCCATCTGGCGCCCAACAACTAAGCGCAGCTTGGGTCCGTAGCCAATCGGACGCCGTCCTACGTTGTCAAGATCAAAAAGCAAAGAGATTCGGTCGCTGCGTCCCGTGGCAAAGGGATTGCCAACGATTGCAGCGACGTGTACCAGTTCTCACATTTCCTTTTCGACACCAACAAACATGTCGGCGCGCTTTGTGCTGCGCTCCAACACGGGGCCGGACGCCTGGAGCTACGAAGAAGTGCTCTCGCCGCAGCGCCGCGCCCTGGACCACCCGACGCCCGCCGTGCACTTTGAAGACATTTTGTACGAAAGCGGCGTCACGGACGAAATGATCTTTATGAGCCAGCGCAACCACGACGCGCTCACGACGCAGCGCATCTACTCGATGGTCTTCACCAAGGAAAACATCCAAAAGCTCGGCTTTCGTAACCTCATCAAGCAGATGCGCAACAAGATCGGCGCCGTCGCGTCCCTCCCGACGTGCGAGGTCCGTTTGAGCTCGGTCGACTACATTGCCGAGCTGCCCATCACCGACTCGAGCATCCAGACGGTCTCGCCGAGTATGCCGTCGCTCCAGACAACGGCGCGCGACCACAAGTACTTTGACAAGTACATTCTGCACAACATCAACGCGATCTTCAAGCCGGGCACCATGACGCTCGTGCTCGGCCCGCCGGGCTGCGGCAAGACGTCGCTGCTCAAGCTTATCGCGGGTCTCACCAAACCCGGATCCAACGAGACGCTCACGGGGACTGTCACGTACAACGGGTGCGCGCCCGACCAGGTCGACCTCGCGTCGCTCACGACGTACGTGCAGCAGCAGGACCACCACATTGCGACGCTCACCGTGCACGAGACGTTTGCGTTTGCCCACAAGTGCCTCGTGGGCCAGCTCGCGCATGACGACCCGCTGCTCGTCAACGAAGAGCACATGGTCGACATCCTCATCTCGGTGTTTGGTTTGACCGAGTGCGCCGACACGATGATCGGCGACGACATGATCCGCGGCGTCTCGGGCGGTCAGAAGCGCCGCGTGACCGTCGGCGAGATGCTTACCGGTCGTGCGCCGACGCTGCTCATTGACGAGTTCTCCAACGGCCTCGACGCCTCGACGACGTTTGACATTGCGAATGCGATTCGGACCATGGCCGAGCTGCTCGAGAAGACGGTGGTCATGTCGATGCTGCAGCCGCCGCCTGAAGTCTACGATCTCTTTGACAACATCATTGTGCTCGACAAGGGCGAGATGGTCTACTGCGGCCCGCGCACCGAGCTCGTGCCGTACTTTAAGAGCATCGGGTACCACTGTCCGGCGCGCAAGGACATTGCGGACTTTCTGCAAGAGGTCACGACGCCGCTGGGAGTGCGGTACGCAAAGGCAGCGTCCAGCGTGGCGCTGCCAACGTCGGCGGCCGAGTTTGCGGGCGTGTTCTACCAGAGCAACCTGGGTGCCGCGCTCGGGAAGGAGCTGATTGCGGCGTCCGGACGGCCGCGCGAGAAGATGGTGCAGGCGCGTCGGCGGCCGCTGCCGTATTTTGAGAGCCTCCGCGTTGTGTTTGGTCGCATCCTCAAGCAGTCGCTGCGGGACAAGAAGTTCAACAAGTCGCGCATGGCCAACGCACTGGTCCTCGGTTCGATCCTCGGCACGGTGTTCCTCGGTATCGCGACAAAAGCCAAGACGCCGTCCCAAGAGCCGCACTACGCGCCGATGAAGATCGGCCTCTTCTACTTGGCCATCCTCTTCCAAGCGCTCGCGACGCTCAGCTCGGTCCAAGCCGTGTACGAGCGCCGAAAGGTCCTCTACAAGCAGCTCCAGTTCAAGTTCTTTCCCGTCTCGACGATCGTCATTTCCGAGTTTCTCCTCGAGCTCGTTTGGACGCTGCCGCAAGCGATTCTCTTCTCGGTGCCCTTCTACTTTGGCGCCGACTTCAACCCGAATGGCGGTCACTACCTCGTCTGCCTGGCGACCATGTACCTCGTGAGTCTCTGCTACGTGCAGTTCTTCAAGTTCATCACGTCGATCTCGGTCGACGGCGTCTTGGCCAAGGTCATTGCGCTCTTTGGCATCTTCATGCACCTCATGTTTGCCGGCTTTGTGCAACCCGAAGCCCAGATCGCGACCGGGTGGATCTGGCTCTACTGGTCCAACCCGATCACGTGGGCCCTCCGGACGCTGGCGCAGAACGAGTACCTCTCGAGCCGCCCGATGTACGACACGGTGATTCCCGGTCGCGGTCGCATTGGCGACATTGCACTTGGCGCCATGGGCTTCTCGACCAACAGCGCCTACGTTGGCCTCGGCCTCGTCTTTCTCTTTGGCTACGCGGTCGTCTTGAGCGTCTTGACGATGGTTGCATATGCACGCGTGCGCCACCAGCAGGCTTTTACGCACAAGGTCGAAGACGCCGTGAGCACGCCCCCGGACGCCGCGTCCCTCTCCGTGCAATCGGAGCGCAGCGACCTCAACAGCCTCGCATTTTCGCCTGTGACGCTCGCCTTCCGCGACCTCTCGTACACGATCCAAGTCGGCGCCAAGAAGCAAAAGAGCAGCCGCCAGCTGCTCCAGGGCATCCACGGCTGCTTTGAGCCCGGGACGCTCACGGCGCTCATGGGGTCGTCGGGGGCCGGCAAGACAACGCTCATGGACGTCATCGCCGGGCGCAAGACGGCCGGTGTCATTGCCGGCGACCTGTATGTCAACGGCCACCCGATGGACCGCAAGACGTTCAATATCCTCATGGGCTACTGCGAGCAGTTTGATATCTACGAGGAGACGTCGACGGTCGTCGAGGCGTTCCTTTTTTGCGCGGCGTTGCGGCTGCCGTCGTCGACGTCTGCGGGCGAGCGCGCGGGCTTTGTGCGCGATGTTTTGGTCGTGCTCGAGCTCCAGGCGCGCGCCAACGCGCAGCTCTTTGCCTTGTCGCTGGGCGAGCGCAAGCGCGTCACGATTGGCGGCGAGCTCCTCTCGAACCCGAGCATTCTCTTTCTGGACGAGCCGACGACCGGTCTCGACTCGCGCGCCGCCACGATCGTCATGGAGTGCGTCAAGCGCATTGCGCAGTCGGGTCGCACGGTCGTGTGCACGATCCACCAGCCGTCGACCGTCCTTTTCGAGCTCTTTGACAAGCTGCTGCTGCTCCAGTCGGGCGGCCATTTGGTTTACTACGGCCCGCTCGGTCTCGAGTCGTCCGAGATGCTCGAGTACTTTGGTCAGTTTGAGAGTGTGCCGCAAATGCAGCCAAGCGAGAACCCGGCCACGTACATGCTCAACTGCATCGGCGCCGGCACGACCGATGCCAACGCCTATCTCGACTTTGCGCAGCTCTACAGTCAGAGCTGGCTGAGCAAGGACAACATTGCAATGCTCCAAAAGGCCATGGTGCCGAATGGCAGTGTCATGACCAAGACGGATCAGTTCACCGCGTCGTTTGGTGCGCAAGTGCGCGCGCTTCTGCAGCGGCAGTGGACCATCTACTGGCGGTCGCCGTCGTTCAACCGGTCCCGACTCATCCTTGTCATCGTTCTCGCGCTCGTCTTCACGTCCATGTACGCCGGGCAGACGATCACGACGGCGACGGACGTCATGTCCCGCCTCGTCCTCATCAACGTCTCGTCGTCGTTCATCTGCTCGAGCTTCCTCTCGGCCGCGATTCCCTTCACGATGCATCTGCGTGGCGTCTTCTACCGCGAGCGCATGTCCAACATGTACTCGCCCGGCGCCTACGTCCTCGTCATGTTCATTGTCGAGTTTGTCTATACGAGCTTCTTCGCGGCTGTTTACGTGCACGGGCTCTACTGGAGCGTTGGCCTCTCGGCCGAGACGACCGCGTGGACATGGTACTGGCTCGTGATGACGCTCTCGATGGCGATGTGGTCCTTCATCGGGCAGCTCTTTGCCGTCGCGGTCTCGACGCACCAAGTCGCCGTGCTCCTCGGCGGCGCAATCACGGGCATCATGTTCATCTTTGCCGGCTTCTTCATCGACGCCAACACGCTCGTCTCGGGGTGGCAGTGGATGTACTGGCTCTGCCCGCTCCACTACATGGTCGAAGCGATCATTGTCACGCAGTTCCACGGCGACGTCCGTCTCGTGCTCGACACACTCACCAAGGAACCGGTCACCGTCACGGCGTTCGTCACCAAGTTCTTCAACGGCGCATACGATTACGCCAACCGGTTTGACGATTTGATTGCGCTCGTGGCGATGATTGCGATCTTCCAAAGCCTTATTTGGCTCTGCCTCGCCAAGGTCTGCCACCTCGAACGGTGATCGGAGCGCGATTGAAGCTGGCGATCTCAGTTGTCATTATTGATTTATCGCATACTAAACGAAATATATAACACTATCTATACACGATACGAGTCTACGTTTGGAGTCGTTGCTGCAGCGCCTGAGCCGACCACAAGTTGTGTCAAGCCCAAGCTCAAACTCAAGGAGCCGGCAAGGGAATCTCGCGCCAGCCTTCGCTGTCGATTGTGATTGGTGCGTTGTGTGCACCATCTCGCCAGCGGATTGGTGGATGGCTTTCATTGTAGCGAATCATGGCGCGTGCTTCCTACACGGTACCGGATTGGCTATAAAGGTGCTCGTGAAGCGATATGATTGGGCATACGTGGAGAATGGGAGCGAATCCTGGCCCCGCATGAATGGAATGCCGTAGCGAATCGCAGGCCGCCGTTTGTGGAACCAGCGAAACGACCAAGATCCTGAGTGGAGCTATTTTGTATTGCCTTCGACTATCGTGATGGGCAACATTGCGCCGACCGCAGCGTGCAACCCGAGCAGCGACGGCGCCAATGATCGGACCACCAGCGCCGAGTACGCGCCTCCGGAGCGTGGCCGGCGCAAGCGGCCGCGAGTGCTCGTGGCCCCGCAGCCGGTCAGCATCGACCCGCCGGTGGCAGCGTCGGGAACTGACGCCTACGACCAAGTGTGCCACGAGTTCAGCCTTGTGTTTCCATCCGCAGGTGCATCTCGCGCAAAGACGACGACGACCACAGCGACTGCGATGGCGTGGAAGGCTGCCGCTGGCGACGAAGCCAACGAGGACGACGACGACCGCGACAGTACAACGTGCTCGTCCGAGTGTTCACAAGACACGGTGCTGTGTGACGATGACGAGTCGACGTTCGCCTGTACGTACCGGAAGCGAGCGCCGTTCTCTGACGACAGACCCTTCTCACTGAGTGCGCGGTCGCCCTTTATAGTCTCCGATTACCTATGTCCTTGCCGCCGCTGCCCATGGTACGATGCGATTGCGCGCCATGTCATGACGAGCAGTCATCTCTCGTCGCGGGCCAAGCGACACGTCACGCGCATCCTGCAGGCGTACTCGACGTACAACGAAGTCGCCGGCTTCCGCAGCGACATGCTGCGCGTCGTCGAAGCCTGTTGGACGCAGTGCGACGGTCAAGAGAACGAAGCGTTCGAAGCCTTTGTCGAGAGCTACGAGAGCGCGTACGCCAATGAGTGGCTTTGATCCGCGTCTCGCCATATTTAACATAGGAATAGAAGAGCGTTCGCGTCGCGTCGGGTGTCCTGTAGGCAAACACAGAAGCGAGAGGTGGCGTGAACGCGGATGGTAGTATTACATCATTGGCACGCTTGGATTTATAAGAGCAAGAGAGACACACACTAGTCGTCTACGCGGCCAAGGCGGCGACCATGGCGACGTGGGTTTCGTACGCGATCTGCGCTTCGACGCGTTCGACGCTGCCCTGGGCGGCCTGGTCCATCAATTGCTTGTACTTGGTGACACCGGCCTCGGCGGCCGACGCATCAATGTCCTCGACCTTGACCAACTCGACGCAGGCAATGTCCGTGACCGAGTCGGCGTGCGTAAAGGCAAAGCCGCCGGCCGTGAAGAACTTCTTCACGACCTTGTCGCGCTCCTCGTGCACGATGATGACACCGGGCTTGAGCTGCGAGATGATCGGCGTGTGGCGCGCCGTGATACCGTACTCGCCGACGAGGCCCGGGATCTGGACGAGGTCGACCTCCGCCTTCTTGTAGAAGGACTGGTGGGGCGTGTTGAGGTTCAACGTCACCTTGGTGGCACCGGCGGCCGACGCGTTCTCGGCGGCGGCGCGGAGCGCGGTGCTGTGGATGGAGCGGCGGGCGGCGCGGGCGAGCATGCTCGATTCAGTCAATAAGAAACTAGCCCGACCGCGGGACCACCCACGCCACAAACAACCGAACCTTTCACAATTAATACTGAGGCTGGAAATGGTGTACCCATTCATAACGAAATAGTGTAGCACAGTGGTTCCCTCGGCTTCGGCAACGCTGTTGCGTTGTCAGAGCGCCAAGGCGCACGACGAACAAGGCGGCAATATATTATACCTGGACGACCAACGAGCAACAAGGCAAGGAGGACCGCGTGTGTCCAGATGCGTTCATAATTCGAATTAATCCTGAGCTTCACGAATGCCAACTCCAGCGATATAAGCTCATCACGGGCGGCCGGTGTAATCTTGCAGGCATAAAGAATGGGGCATGTGACGGACTCGTCGTAAGCTGATCGTAAGTCCTTCGAACAAAATGCTCGCTTATATGCAGCATATCTTCTCGCACGACGTCGTTCAAGAGACAACATGCAAGGCTGTTAGTGAGCATCCGCGGCCATTCACCTATAGCAAAACGTGCCGGTTCAGCCGTGATCCACGCGGCCATCAAGTGGGCGCAGTGGGGCAGCGGCCAGGTCGCCAGGGTCTGCTTCACACCATTTGCGGCGATTACGCAGCCGAGAGTGGTACAGTATTTCAGCGCGTCCAAACCTCTTATACTATATAATTTCACTTCCCCAAGCAAAAGCATACAAATACCGAGTCACATTGCTTTGGCCAACAATTTATTATAATAGAATTTTGTCGAAGCAAATCAACCTCAGTATACTATATCTTTGTATACTTATCCTTCGAATTTTTAAACGTACGATGACTTCTTTAAAATATGTACTTATCACTTGGCATTCGTATGCATAATAAACCTGTACAATATAAATAGGCGGCGACGAAACGGCCACCGCCCACGTCGTGCCACGTACCCCACTCGACTTCATGCAGGTCCAGATCAGTGCCAATACTGTGCACACTCTACACACAGTGAAAGTATGTTCTATCCTCAATTACAGTCCAAACAGCGCAAGTCCGTGATCTGCCTCGTCATTCCTTTGTAACCAGGCGCCGAACGCAGCACCGGTTCTTAGCCTCGCCGGCGGCCCGGCGCCGAGACCTTCTGGAGCTTGTTCGGGTTGACTTCATCCCACTCGACGCCAATGACGCGCGAGACAAAGCCGCCGGTTTCCTTGGGCGCGGCGGCCGCGGCCCGTTCGCGCAGGATGTTGAAGCACGTCTTGCAGCACCGCTTCTCCTCGAGGACACCGGCGCCCTTGTGGACGCGACCGGGAAAGCCTTGGGGAAACTGTACAAACGGAATCGCGACGCTCGCGTCTTCGGTGCAGCAGAGGCGGCCGCAGTGCGTGCAGTTGTGCTTGCGGTGGCCAAAGCCAATCTTCTTGAGGCAGAGCATGCACGCCGCCCGCTCCTTCTCCGAGATGAACGTCGGCGGGTAGTAAATGTGCGAGAGGAGGTACCGCAGCGACGTGCGGGAGCATTTCTCAAACACGTTTTTGCCGTCCGAGTCCTCGACGTCGAGCTTGGCGCCGGCTTTGACCAGGGCGCCGGCGACCTTGATGAGCCGCATGTTGACCGCCGTGTGCACGATCGTCGCCGTCTCGTGGATCTCGTTCGGGTTGGCGCCGTACTTGAGCAGCATGTTGACTATGATAATGTCGTCCTTCTTGTTGGTCAAAATCGCAATCACAAGCGGCGTGAGGCCGCGCGAGTTCTTGACGTTGACCGGCGCACCGTTCTCGAGCAGCAAGTGCACCATGTGCGGCGTCTTGGTCGCTGCAAAATGCAGCGCCGTGTTGCCCTTGTCGTCCTCGACCGACAGGAGCTCTGCGGACGGCCCCATGCCCGCAAACTGGTCGAGCATCATCTGCACGAGCGGCACGTTCCCGCTCTTGACGGCCAAGTGCAGCGCCGTGTGGCCGTGGTTTGGCTCGCGCTTGAGGAGGCACTCGGGGCCCGCCTTGTCGTGGCGAAGGATCGTGAGGACGGTCCGGAGGTCACCTTTCGCAGCGGCATCGTGGATGCTGCTCATGGCCACCGATGGCCCCGGTGGCGGCGGCTGCTGCGTCACGCGCATGGTGTCCCGGACCTCGGGCATGTACGGCGGAGGCGCACGCGTCGACGGCGGCAGCTCCATCTGGTGGTCCTCTTCGCCCGAGTCGGAGCCCTCGATGTCGTTCTCGTAATCTTCGTCGTCCTCAAAGACCTGGTCCAGCTCCTCCTTCATTTCGCGCTCGGCCGCGTCTTCGTCGACGAGCTTGATGAACGAATCGTGGATCGAGTCGTTGTCGAGAATCGGGAGCTCGTCGAGCGTCTCGTCCATCATCGCGATCGGGCCCGACTCTTGCACCTTGCTCTCTTTCGCCGGCAGCTCGTCGTCGATGCTAAACGACATCTTTTGCATGTGCTCGCTCATCGCAATCGCCGTCGACGCGTTCGACGTCGCTGAGCCGCGAAGGCTGTCGACCGGCGCCGACGGCCGACCGTCGTCCGAGAAGCGAAGACTATCGTGGTTCGATGCAACGTGGATCGGCGACGGGGGCTTCATGGGTGCGTTCGGGTGCGGCGACGGCTTGAGGATGGACTTGGTCGGCGCCGGCTTCTCGGCCGACGTCGCGGCTGGCTGCGTCATGTACGGTGACTTCAACGTCGTCTGCGGCGCAGCTGGAATCGTGGGCATCACGATCGGCTCATCGTCGTCGTCGCTTTCGTCCTCGAAGACGACCGGCGCCGGGGCCGGCGTCGGCTTCTGAACGACGGGCTCTGGCTGATGCTTCGGCATCGGCTTGGGCATCGATGGCGCCGACACCGCTTGTTGCTGCTGGTACGACGTACGGCCATACGCACCCGCAATGCCCTTCTTCTTGGACGAAGGCGGCCGACCCGCGTTGGTCGGGCTCGTTACGACGTCGCTGACAGGCGCGTGCACCTTGGTCGGCGGCGTGTACGTCTGGCGCTGGTACGACGGGCGCGACTTGACACTGGAGCGACCGCTCGACGGACGCGGGTTGGCGGCCATGTGTGTGGCCACGTTTTCGACGCGTGTGAGGCGAAGGGTCGCGGGCAGGTCGCACTCTTGCAGGAATTTCACGACATCCTCCAGCGTCAAGTAGAGCGTATCAAGCTCGTTCACGCCCAAGAGCACGTCGCCGGGCACGACGCTCTTGATGCCTTGGGGGAAGCCCTTGCCCGTGATGCGGCTCACACTGACGCCACTGCCGCTGGGGTTGGTCGTGAGCGCGACGCCGAGGTCGCCGCCCTCCCAGATGAGCTGGTACTCGTTCGGGTCGTCGCTTGCATGGCCCGAGACGCTGGCGAAGCTCGAGTCGTTCACGAGGTCCGCGTACTCGGCCGCTTGCTCGTGGATCCAGTTCTGGCTCGGGCGTTGGCTGCTCATGACGATGCGACCAAGTCTTTCGCAAAATGACTGCAAGCGGAGCTTGGGCCTGCGCCGCGATTGGTCAAAATACGCCTGCGACAAGCCAATTACCAACCGGTCAATATCATTACGTTTCAGTATGAAATCCGAATTACTTTTTTCGCCCCCACCAACCTGTGGCGGCGATTGGCGCATATTGCATACTTTTGAGCCAATCCACGTGGGGCAAGGATACGCCAACGCGTTCGTAGCCGCATGCAACACCTGCGCCGTGTGGCGACCGTCCTCGCCATCCTCCTCGCATCATGTGCCACATGCAGCAGCAGCATGAGCGACGTGCTCCGCGAGGGCATTCGGCTCCACATGGACATGGGCGCCTTGGAGAAGGCCAAAGCCATCTACGCCCGCGTCGTCGCCGAGGACCCGATGGCCGCCGACGCGTGGCAGCTGCTGGGCGCCGTGGCCGTGCAAGAAGGCGACTTTCACTCGGGCGAGATCCACTTTGCACACGCACTGACGCTCGAGACGGACCCAAAGAAGACGGCGATGCTGCACTGCAACCTCGCAGAGACCCGGCGCTTGCAGGAGAAACACGACGTTGTGACCTTGGACCATGCAAGCACGGGGTCTCGCGTCGCACCGACAGAGTTTTGTCGCGTCGTGCTCGCCAAAGTGCTATTGGATCGCAGCGAACCACGCCTGGCGATACCACACTTGCAGGCCGTCGTCGCTCACCGGGATACGCACGTAGAGGCATGGCATCTGCTCGGTGCGTGCGTGCTGATATGCCCATCGCGTCGACGGTGCGATGACCGCCTATTAGGTCGCGCATGGTTGAGCGTCTCGGTCATGGACGAGGCGAGTACTGCGTTTCGTCGCCTGCTTGCCGCGTCGGGGCCGCTCGCCGTGGAGGTCGTCGAGCGAATTCTGGGAAAGGACGACCACATTGAGCGACGCTGCGTAGGGCTACGTGGGACTTGGTCAAGTCCGTCAAGCATTGGGGGCACTCCACGAAGCGATAACGTATTACGAGCGGGCGCTGGAGCTCAACCCGACGCACTTTGCGGGACGCTTGCTCTTGGCGACGGTGTGGCATGTACGACACTGTGTCTTGGAGGGTAGATGTGGCATCTCTGTAGCAACACGGGCGCCTCGACGACGCGATGCATGTCTACGCGAGCTTACTCGAGCAGTCGCCAGCGCACGTTGGATTGCTCAACAACCTCGGCGCCGCGCTTCTGTACCGAGGCCGCGAAGACGCCGCCGCCACGTACTTTCAGCGGGCGCTCGCGATCGAGCCGGGGCAGCTGCAAAGCCTCGGAAACCTCTACATTTACTACGCCGAGCGCGGTACGCCGTGTGAGGCATGTTGCGAGGTCGACCGTGTTGGCTCTCTAGGCGACGTGGCTGCCGCTCGCGCAATGCTCGAGACGGCGTACGCGCAGAGCCGGAACGACATCTTCCGGTACGGTTGTCCTGAAGAGATACATCGCTCGCACGAGCGTAGACTGCAGGCAGCGCTGCTACTGCCGCCCGTGTACGCGACGCAAGACGAGCTGCTCGCGACGCGCGCGGCGCTACATGCTCGTTTGGACGCATTCATGGCCCAAGACATGACGCTTGCCAACTTTTACACGGTTTCCACCCGATACATTGATACTTTGCATGCGTACTGTGCGATCAGACGGAGCTGCGCCCGCCCTTTTTCTTGGTGTACCACGGCAAGAACGACCGCCGTCTTCTCGTATCACCCACGTGTGGTACCGACTGTGGACACCATCATCTTGTCGGTAGGAGACGCTTGCGACGCTCTATCGACGGGCCGTACCACAGCTCTCGTGGACGGCGCCGCATGTCACCACCAAGCGGCCGCAAAGTTGCATTCGCGTCGGCTTCATGTCCAAGAGCTTTCTGACCAACCACGCGCACGGCCTCCTCCTGCGTGGCGTGCTCGCTGGCTTGGACCGCGAGGTGTTTTGCGTCTACCTACTGGTGGTCCCGTCGGTCTCGGAGGCGCCGGATCCGTCACTGGTCGCGGCCGTGGACACCGTTGTGCATCTGAGCCTGCACCTGCTTGACGTCCAGCGCGACGTGGCGGCGCTAGCATTGGATGCGCTCGTGTTTGCCGACATTATGAGCGACCCGGTCAACTACTTTACGGCCTTTGGTCGACTGGCGCGCGTCCAAGCTCTCTTTTGGGGCAACCCAACAACGTCTGGTATGCGCCAATCATAGCATATGTGTATGACAATCGACTAGGCATCGCAGCGATCGACTACTTCATCTCGAGCGAGCTCCTCGAAGCGGCTTTGGACGTGGAAGGTACGGGCGGAGACGGCGACCACTACACGGAGCAAGTCGTGTTGTTGCCGGGGTTGGGCATTTGGTACCGAGATCGCCGCACCGTATGAATAATTCCTTGACGGTAGCCAGTTTAGGTACGACCCTCCGCTGCTGCCAGCGACGCCAGGTCGTCGGAGCGACTACAACCTTGACGAGCACTGGACCATCTATATGTGTGCGCAGAGTGTCTTCAAGATGCAACCCGAGTTCGATGTTGTCTTGGCTGCGATCTTGGCTCAAGACCTCAACGGCCATGTCGTGCTCGTCCAGGGCCGCCGCGCGTACACTGTGTCATGGACTCGTCCGTACTGAAGATAGAATATGACTAGGACGTGGACGGAGCAGCTCATGGCTCGGTTGCGAGCAACCCTACCCCGCTCTTCGTTTGACCGCCTGCACCTTCTGCCGCGCGTTGCCGGGCACGACGCGTACATGCGTCTCCTCTCCGTTGCGACTGTCGTACTGCATCCATTTCCGTTTGGCGGCTCGAAGACGTCTGCGGTAGACATGACAATATTGTGCAACTTTCCCTACACCGTTTCTAGGAGGCGCTCGCGCTCGGACGCCCGTTGGTCGTGCGCGACGCCACGCACCTGCGCGCCCGCATGGCGCCCGCCTTCTTCCGACGCGTGGGACTCTCGCATTTGCTGTGTGCAGACACGGACGCGTACATTGCGATGGCGCTGAAGCTCGGCACCAATGCTACGTTCCACGCCGAGGTCCGCTCCGAGGTCGTGTGCCATTCGCGATGTTCTTGTGCGATAGATCACCGGGGTCATCACGGCGCGGACGCATCTGCTGTGGCGGGACCCGCAGGTCGTCACCGAGTGGGACCGGTTCCTTTTCAACGCCGTGCGGGTCTCGGCGCTCGACGACACCGAGTCGGAAGAAGGGGAATAAGTATACATATAGACTGCTCGTAGTATCGGTCGCTCAACACCCGGGGCCGCCGGCGAGGGGCATGCACGCCGTGTTCGGGTCGATCGACATGATGTTGGTGGCGACGCCCCAAACGAGCGCAAAGCCGCCGAGGACGAGCATAAAGATCGAGAGGTGCGGGTTGGTGTCGCCGAGGAGCCGCAGCTCCTGCGCCTCCTTCTTTTGCCGCGGCAGCAAGAAGAGCGTCACGTTCGAGAAGAGGCGGGATCCGTAGCAAAACAAGAGGCAGTACGCCACCTCCCAGCGCACGGCCGGCGTGTCGGTCGCAATGTCGTTCTTGTACGCGCGAAACTGCGCGTCGATTTGCTTGAAGATCGACGTCGAGATCGGACCGGCGACCGCGTGCATGGTCGAGATGAGCGCGTACGTCGAGGCTTCGAAGCGCTCGTCGGCGATCTCGACGGTCGCAAAGCTCACGACAATGCCGCGGATCGCGACCGGGATCTGGTACGTCAGCGGCACGCCCATGTAAAAGTACTGGGACCGAATGACGTTAAAGACACAGAGAAAGTCGACGGTCCACTACTGAGGTATCAGCACGCCAGAGACGCCGACGGATGGACTCTACCTGGATGACGACTGTGACGATCGTCGTGACAAAGATGATCATGCGCCAATTGGTGTGGAGAAAGCACTGCCGCGTGAAATGCATGGCGAGCGAGAAGAGGAAGACGGCGAGGACGTTGGAGAAGACACCGTCGACGAACGGCTCGACCTGGGCCCACGACCGCTTGATGATATCGGACGGCGCCGCGACCGCGTCAAAGAAGAAGGCGTTGAAAAAGTTGAAGGCCATGAGCTGCCACACGGCGCGCTTCTTGCCCGCGCTCCAGAGGTCCCGGAACCGGTCTTGGAACGAGTCGCCGAGGATGATTTGGTCGGGAATGAAGAAGGACGAGATAAAGCCAACAACCTACGAGAAACAACTCTGTATCGTAGGAAGATGGAGAGGCGAAAGGACGTACGGGCCCGATCGCGGCGAGGATCATGACTTGGTTGTACGTCAGCGACCAGCCAAACGTGCCGCCGTACTCGGTGCCGTTGAAGCAAATGGCGACAATGACGGCGCCGACGCCGCCGCTGAGAAACTTGGCGAGCGTCACCATGGTCTGCGTCGTACCGCGAATGTTGGCGGGCTCGCGCTGCGCAAACTCAATCATGACGGCGTCGCCCGCGGTCTCGGCCATGACAAAGCCAAACGACGCAAACATCATGTACATCACGTAGCGAAAGCCTTCGTTCGGCGCGTTCGCATTGATGACCTACGCGCCATAGTCGTCTATGAGCCCAGAGCGACGGCGCCATGGCGTACCGTGCGAAACATCTCGGGGTCGTCGAGAAGGTTGTCGTCACCGAACGCCCAGTACGGCGAGCCCTGCGTGTCAAAGATCGCAACCACAATGAGCGTGAACGAGATGATCCAGCCAATGACCATATACGGCTTTCGCCGGCGGCCCATGATCGGAAGGCAGTCCGAGAGTAGCGCAAACACTGTCTTGAGGATGTAGGGCAGCGTGATGAGCACATACGCGGCCTGCGTCTGGTAGCCGTCCATGTTGAGGTAGTTGGTCAGGAACGGGTAGATGGTCGCCGGCAGAATGGCCTCGACCCAGCCCGTGCACACGTAGTTCATGATGAGGCCAATGTTCTCGCACGAGTAGATGTTGAGCACGCCGCCTTCGCGGATCGGCCGGCCCTCGAAGTCCTCGTAGTATGAGTTCGAGTCGCAGTTGTCGGGCATCTCCTGGCTGCCGTACTCCATGTGCGACGTCCACGAGTGGCGGGACGCCCGCTCGCTGTTGGTTCGCATCACGCTTGTTTTGAGAATGGAAACTCCGGTCGGTTCGCCCCGAAACTCAAACTCAACGGAACCGGATTCTTTTTCCACCCGACCGGTTGATACAATAGCGCACACTAAGCTTACAGACTCTATGTCCGCCGACCAGCATCACAGTTGAGTTTGAGCTCATCTGATGGTTCGTCATGTCGCAGCACTGGCCATGGCGTCAGCGTGGGTGGCAAATTGGATTTCCCACGTGCCATTCTGCAATTTCCACCCGCCAATTAGTATAAACATGACCGCCCGACCGATATACTGTCATCGTGAGACTGCACGAGCACGAGTCGGCGGCGCGCCTCTATAGACACGGTGGTGTGCCATCGCGCTTGCTATGCACGTTTATTCAAGGACGTCCAGAAAGCGGGCAAGAAGGCTCGCGCAGCATCCTAGGTGCAATCCTGTGTTGTTACAGGGTCGATCTACTATTGATGTTTGTATGGACGCAGCCTCAACCCGATACACATTGCATGTCGCACTGGCACACGATTTGATGTGTGTACACTATTTGGCACGTGTTTTTCACATCCGCGTGTGAGAAACCGGCCGAAAGTACAGCGGGCCAAATTTCGAGCAAGGCCACATCCAAAAGCAGCTTGCGCGGCCCAAATTCTTGAGGCCGACGCATCCTCATGCAGCCTCCTCCCAAGCTGCTACTAGATACATAGCTTTCCTCGAGAGATTCACAATTCTAGGATTGCTCGTCCTCGGAAACGAACGCGGCGCAATAAAAATGCACCCAACTCGACGGATTATTTGTTGCTCGTGGCGCCTTTGCACAAGGAACAAGCTATCCTCAACGACGCGCAGTGTGGCACAAGGCTTCTGTGCATCGAAGCGGCCGTGGCACTCACCAGACGCCGCCAACAAGTCTCCTTACAAGTGCTCAACCCGCTTTGTGTGCGATGGGCTGCGGAGTATCCGCCTTGCGTATTGACGGGAATGCTTTGTTGAACCCAACGATAAACTAATTTCCAATCGGAAGGATGTGTTCTTCGCAGGAACGTTGTGGACTGTGCAGCGGACTGAGAGCTGCAAATCCGTCAGCACCGTTGGACATTGCCGCATCGCGCATCGTTGGCTTCTTTCTGTGCGTGCAGAGGCGGCAGCTGGGCCGTCGAAGCTGCAGGTGTATCGACCACTAGTATTCCCAATGACCTGCAGTCGGAGAGATGGTGCCGACAGTGCACCGCCGCTTGGCTCCCATCCTGGAGAGATCACGCGGTGCTTCTTTTACTGACAAACGTGACGTATGTACACGGTACAATGGACGGTTTCGAGTGCACGCCAGCCACGAATAAAATCTCCAACCAAACGGACGGCGAAAACGTCAACAAGTCGCACGCGACGACGTCACTGCCCAAATAGAATGTGGAGCCGTCAAAAATGTTCTTCTGTTTTAGACGTCACGCCAAAGGCAGCAGCACACCATTGACGATGCTGACAGCATAGAGGATAATTATGCAAATCGAAAATTTAAAGTACATCATCGCTGCTCGGGTGTCCGATCGGTTGCGAAGCGACCCCGTGAAATCCTGCCGAATCGTAGTGTATCAAGGTATCGAGTTGATGCGGAATGGTTGGCGCGATGCCAGCACATTGGAGGAGGTTGGTGTTGGAAGGCCAGAAATGCCTCTAAATGCAATAAAAATCACAAGGAAAGCACACAGCTTTCTTGTGTGGTATGTATGCCTCATTCACCTCGTCGTGGTGGGCACTATGGGACGGAGTATATATCTAGGGTGCCTGTGACACTGCATGAGGCAAAGGAATACGAGTAAATTTGGACCTTCATACTTATATACGAACGACCAATTTTGACGCCACATTTCTGCATCATAACGATCAGAATCGTGGACAGTAAAGATCGAACTCTTTTTTCTCCGGCCATTCGCTCCGGCCCTTCCTCTGCTGCTGAATAAAGTTAGATAAGCTTAAGCCATAAGCTTATGGCGTCGCTCCCAACCAAAGACAGCTCCTGCAAAACGTCTGCATGCTATTGCAAACATCAATATTGATGGCCGGGTCGTGTCATACTTGTAGTGTCCGGGTCGCGCCTTGTATGGACGTGGTGCCAGTGTCGTGGATAATGTGACCACCATTGGCGTGAACTGACCAGCTTTCTGGACCACACTATTTTCTAGCCACTCGACGCGTTCCATTGGTCGTGCGGCCTTTTTATTTTATTTTGCACAATCCTACAACATTTTATATGGAGATAATACATGTTTCACACCAAATGAAAAATAATCCAACTCTATGCACATAACATATATATAGTGTTGCAACCTTCGGCTTCACCAACATCTAGCATAATCCGGCGAGATGAGCTTCGTCCGCAAGCGCGGCTTCCATGTCCTCCTCGCCTGCATCTCACTGGTCGTGATTAACGACGTCGTCGAGCTACTGAGCTGGCGAGACACCTTTGCGCCATCGCAGCACCTGCGCAGCGACAGCGGCGACGGCCTCGACGAGCCCACCAAGCTGCGCTATGTCGTCAACCTCTTCCTCGTGTCGCCATTCGTGCTGCTTGGCCTCATTCGCCTCGCCGTCGCGCTTTCGCCCAAGGCTCACGCCTACCTTTCGACTTGGACGCGCTCCATAACGCTCGCGCTGCTGCTACCAGCGCTACTGCTGCTCGTACTGGTCGCGATCCCAGCGCGGCCGTCTTTGAGTGACTTGCCGCCCAACCATACGCACTACACGTGCGATGCGAACGCGTCGAGTGGCAACATGGACGCTGTCTACACATGGGTGAACGTGACCGACCCCGAGTGGCAAGCGCTCTCGGTCCAGCACAAGTGTCCGGTCGACGACTACCTCGGCGGCGGTGGCGACGCCGACCCGTTCTTAGCGCTCAAGTACAGCATGCGCTCCGTGCGCGCGCACCTGCCGTTCGTCGAGCGCATCTTCATTGTCACCGAGCGCAACCAAGTGCCATCGTGGGTCTCGCTCGGCGAGAACGTCCATGTCGTCTTCCACGACGAGTTCATGCCGGCCGAGATCGTCCCGACGTTCAACAGCAACCCGACCGAGATGCTTCTCCACCGCATGGTCGCCAAAGGCATTCTGCGCAGCAACTGCTTTCTCTACATCAACGACGACTTTATCGTCAACAAGCCACTCGGGCCCTCCGACCTCATCACGGCCGATGGGCGCATCGTCCTCAACTCGTTCGTGCACATCAACTTGCCGTACGACATGTGGATGGATGCGCCGTACGGTCTCTGGCCGACGACCGACGACCGCGTCGCGTTTGTCGTCGACCCCCACGTGCCCTACGTCGTACACGCCGAGGCCATGGAAGCGTACGTGTCGCAGTGCGGCGACGAATGCGCGCGGTCGATCGAGACCCGCTGCAAGCGCAACGGCCCGCTGCCCATGTCCAAGTACCAAGATTTTCTCGCGACAAAACACCCCGAAGCCGTGAGCTTTGTCTCGCCGCTTCTCGGGTACTCTACCCGCCTCCCGCTTGGAATTGGGTCGCCGGCTCTCAACGGATGGCTGCTCTACCTTCTGAACCCCAAGTTCATCTACATCGAGTCGCACAACGCACTCGAAGAGCACCCCGAGTGGGTCGACTTTATCACGACGTACCTTCATAATACGTTCCCTGACAAAGCGCCGTGGGAACTCTAATGTACATTCGACACTGCACGCTTGAACGTGTCTCTTGCAAGATCAGACAACTTGTCTCGTGGAGGCGTTTCACCGTTTCCGCGCATGCGGCGAAGAGGCCAAGCTGTGCCCTTGTCCCAAGACGAGTGGGTCAAGTCGCTTCAGGAGCAGGTCGCGGCGCAGCAGGCTACCAAGCCACGCGGCCGTCGCCGCCCCGACGACGACAACGAGCCGGCTGTGCTTGCGGAGGATGCTCCGATGACCGCGGCCGCACCGACGGGCGGTCGACGCCGCCTCACGCAGCAAATGACGCAAGAAGACTATGTGCGGTCGCTCCAAGAACAGATTCGCCTCAAGCACGTATGTGCATATTGTCGTACAACTTAGCGACGTTTATTGAGCCACGAGCTAGCAACGCGAGGCCGACGAAAAGGCTGCAGCCATGGCCGAGCCGCCCGCGATACTTGAAGCCAAGGCGCCGGTAGCACTACCTATAGCAAACAATGACGTGCGCGGCCGGCGACGCGTGCAGCAACTGTCACGGGACGAATGGCTTGCGTCCATCGAGCAGCAACAGCAGCAGCAACAAGCTCTCAAAGTAGGAATGCACGTAAGCACACCCTATCGACAATAGGGCTGTTGTACTAGGTGGACGAGCCACCCAAGCGCGGCCGCATGACCCGCGAAGAGTACATTCGGTCGTTGGAAGCTCGGATCGATCACGTACGTTCGCGTCTTCTGAGTGCCGTGTTGACTGGCGCGTAGGCGGCCGAAGAGCCTGCCGCACCCACTCCAGTGCCACTACCAGTCCCAGAACCAGAAAAAATCCCAGCATCAAGTCCAGAGAAACCGAACGACCCTGTCGTTGAAGAGTCTGTTGTTGAGGAGCCTGTGATCGTGGTCATATCACCAAGTATGGACGAGACTAGAGCGTGCATCAGCGATTCGGAAGAGCAACGCACATCGCCGGCAACAACCCCCGCGGTGAAACCAAAGGCGTCCAAGCTGGTCAAGCCAAAACAAAAAGCTCCTGCTGCCAAGAAGGTAGCGAAGAAGGCGCTGTCATCGGCCAAGGAATTGCCACCCGCAAATGCCAAAGCCCATCGACGGACCCTACCGCTGCCGTCGTCACCGCCTCAAGCGCTCAATATCATCGAGATACCGTCCCCCGTTGCCGCCGTCATGGACGCATACAAGGAGATCCAAGCTCAGAACGTCGCGATGAAGGCGCAGTTGGAAGAGCAGCGGCAGTTGCTTCAAGTCATTCGCGAGAGCATCTCAGCACCACCAGCCGCTGCCACGCCGCCACAGCGACTTCTACCACCCGGCACGATTGCAAAAACAGCTCGCGGACGGTCCAAGATACCGACGCGGAGCTCATCTTTGTCGGTAACACCACTACCAAAGCCCGCGCTCTGCATTCAAAAAGACGCAACCCCACAAAAGCCGGAGCACCGCGTCATCCCAACGAGTCCGTCTTTGCCAACGCGGCTAGGTAGTCCTGTGCCAACACGGCTGCCGAGTTCTTGTTTAGCGCGGCCTGCTCTCTTGGCCCCGCTCGAGTCACTTCCAAGCCCGAGTCACACCATGCTGCGCCCCACCGCCACGCCTCCCCGCTCGGTAAGGGATCGGTGTTCACTGATTGTCTATAGGGTTGCCGTAGAATGGACGTCGCCAATGTCGAACGCCGCGGGCTCTTGACACGGTCTGTGGCTCGACAAGCATTTCTCGTGGCATAGTTCCTGTCGTAGATGGACACAGAGCTCCCTTGTGCGAGCTTGCTGGGGCCGCTCGAGAAGGAGCTGTGCAGCGACAGCGCAGCGCTCCTGCTACCAAGCGTGCCTAGCAGCCGCTTTGTCGAGTCGAGCTCGCTCTGGCCATTGCACAAGACAAGTGCACACATATTTCAAATCACATGACACTTGCCTCTTCGTTTTGGGTCGTTATGGCCGCAAGCTTGCGTGCCTTCTTCACTTTGAACGTCTCGCCCTTCTTGGTGCGGACGCGCTTGCGCTTCCGATCGGTCGCTGGCATCGACGACGTCGTGTCGCCGCCCAGCTGGCACCTGATAGTTTGGCCCAAGATCGCCGGGTCGGCCATGGCTTGGACCGCCTCGACGGCGTGCGTCGCATCCGCGGCCTTGAGGTACGTTACAAAGGCGAAGCCAGGCGGACGCCGGGCGATCCAAATGTGTCGAATGACCCCGAACGGGCGGAAGAACGCCTGGAGGTGCGTCTCGTTGGCATGCGGCGTGAGACGACCGACGTACACCTTGCAGAGCGCGTCAGCTTCGTCCTGCTCTTCGAGCGGCGCGTCGCTCGGCGGCGTCAAAGGCGGCGGGATCGCGTCCCTGTTGCTTGCCATCAAAGCGCTGGAATTCCCATAGAAAGTACAAGCGCAAGATTTCCACCAATCAAATGTGTCCAAGCGGTGGATTACGCGCCAAGAACCATTTCTTCAGTTCCAAGTGCATAACCCCAGCGATGGTACCTTCGCCTTGTAGGAGCACGAGCCATCAGTATCTACTTCACGCTGCGGCCATCTCTGAATCCAAGTCCTCCGACAGGCGACAACATTCCAGCGGTCAACAATTGATACCTCGAGCGTTTACTGCTGTCAACTTTAAACAGCTCTGCTCAGCGAACTAAAGCGCTTATGGTAAGAGTGTATATCTATACTAGTACAAGCTGAGGCGTACGGGAGACTCTACGTGTAGCTGTCGTAGCATGGCTCGTGTCGGCGTGGGCCTCGACGCGG